TATTTCAATCGAGCTATAAATATATCTGAATTACTAAGATATAAAATATATATTATATATTATATTTATACTTGCATTTAAATTGCATTAGCGCCAAATTAGCGTAAAATCTCTGAAAGAATGGAACTTGCAAAATTTGATTTAATTAATAATTGACGTAACGATTTAAGTTACTTGAGTACTCATTTATAACTTTTTTAATTTAATATTAATTAAAATATATTTTCGTTTCATTTTATTTGAGCAAAAACTTCGTTACAGCCTCGGAAGAGAAGATCAAACTTCGAGGAACGATGAATTACAGAACATGACTTGCGTCATTGAGACTTACACAGACGAATTGTTGTTCACGAATACTGGACGACGTTCGTTAAAAGTGAGTAAAGCGACGATATATTGCTGGCAATGCTCATATATTTGCCGCAGTAGGAAATGAATAAATCATAAATGATTAATTTTACGTGTCAGATTGTATACGAATATCTAATCCGAGCGTCCGACTGGGTGCTAAATAATTTACGTTGTGACGAGAAGAACAGACAGACGGATTTGATGAATTTGCCGGAAGTCTCACCAATCATAAAACCTCTTATACACACGATGTTTCATATCGAGGACACGTGCTTTGATCAGGTTAGTAATAAAACTTCCGCTTCCTCTAATCATAAATTATAGGATTTTGATATTTCTTAAAGCAAATTTGTTTCGTTTATAATTAGTATTTATATATATATGTTGCAAATAATTTTTTTATTTATAATAAAAGCATAGTGATAAATAAATCGAAATTATGAAAATAATAATGGTAATAATCGCTTTAAATTCAATAAATTGTTGATACATTTATTTATCGATCATGAAACGTAAAAAAAGAATTTATAATAGCTAAACGTGTCGTGTTGTATTCTCAAATATTGCTAAAATTTACTTAGAGAGCATCATACGATAAATATATGAATTTTCAGAAATCTTTATAATTCTATAAAATCATATTGCAAATAATCACACTTATATATTTCAGTTTCTGGTTAATTACGAAGTAACGAATTGGTCGAAGGTATTAACGATGCCTTTATCGATTACCTTGAAACGTGTACGAAGTCAAATTCTTTTGAGACCAGAATTGAAGAATGTTGGAGACCTCAGTCATGAGGATAAAGAAGTGGTGCAATCTATCAAAAGACTCTGCTCGTTTGTCAGGTCAGCACGTTTCAAATAAGTGGTTTACACACATTTAGCGATAGGTAATATATTTCTTTCTCCTATTATATCTATTTAAAAGGCTCGTATTATTTTAATTCAATATTTGTTTAATAATATGCATTTTTAATATATATAATGCATTTCTAAGATATCGTATATCGAAGCGTGGTTTTTTAGGTAGACTTTTCTTTCTGGCGTGTTTTTAGCTTTTGAAAATCTTTATCGCAATTGTACGATAAAGCCCGCATTCTTCCATTTTGCATAATGTAATTAAAAAGATACGATGACGCAATTTTATCTTACGAAAAAACTCGCGCAAACCATTGCCGCCGCCGAAAGTTTTTAATTCTGCCTTTCAGATAATGTTCCAGTTCTTAAGTTAAGTTTACAAACTTTTTAATCTGTCTAGAAAGGAGAAGAGGATCGTTTTAATGACGTGAATTAAGTGTTTTCCCGATCTTTTTCCTGTATTTAGATTACCATTGAGCTTAATCGTATTAAAAAATCTAATTGTTATCATCTCACAAGGTAACTGTATTATAAAAATACATCGACACGATGCATTATATCCGCGTAAAGGCATTTCGTCGTGGGATTCGTGGAAAATGAAGAATCTTGTAGAACACATTTGCTGCAGAGGAATAAATGTGACACAGTGTTACATAATAATTTATTTTTAATTTTGCAAATTGACATATTCACACATTTGAGACGCGACCCTCTATTTGCGGCGAATAACTAGTTCGTATTTTTTTCTTTTTTCTTTTTTTTATTCTTTTTACACATATATATTTTAATCGCCAATCTCCCAATCTACATGCATCATCAATGATTTTGCGATCGGCTTCCATAATACGCGTGTGATTTTTAAATTGTAACAATTTTATAGTTCGCTCTGTGTATACGTTTTATAGACAGGGCAGATATCATTTTTCATCATGATATAATGATCATATTATTTGGCACATTTATCGAAAGACTACGCCTATTAATCGATCGGTAGACCAACAGGCCAGCTGTTGAAAATTTTAATGTCCCAGAACTACTGAATGACGCTTTAGGGTCCAGATTTTACACCCGAATAAAAAAAAATTCTCATCTTTCTTTGAAGAATATTCAGCGAAGATCGATACGAAATGATACATTATGGACCAATAAAAGCTCTTGATGGATCTCACCCTAAATGGGCAATAAAATGCTATGTCTCAAGTGTTTTAATACAAATTTAACTTGAGAAAATGTGCTAATCAAAATATAAGATGTTGATAATGAAAAAGATGACGTTTAAATATTTATAAATTAAATATTTAACGTTTAAATCTTTCTTCTCTGTTTAATATTTAAAAATCGCATTTTAATTTTAATTTTGAAACAAATCAACATCAAATTTATTCAGTACATCGTCGGTAAATCGCTTGGAATGTCTGGGACATGTATATGTCAACGCGCAGGGCGCAAATTATTTCTACGTCTCTGTGCCGATGTGCGCGTAATTAAACGAAAAAGCAATTTCTTTCGTAAACGATTCGAAGCAATTCAGATTGTTATCCCCACATCGAATGAAGAACTTAGGCCAAGTGTCCTTTTACAGCGCTGCCATTAATTAACGAAAACGACGAGGTAAAATGCCGACGTTGAGAATCGGTATTATTCGGAATGCCCGCAATTATACGAAACAAATATACAGTGTCTTTAAACATGTCCCTTGAGATAAAGCAACCGCCTCGTAAAATCTCGCACAAGGCGAAACAGAGACAATTACGTCAGTTCCGAGAAAACGCGTCCGCTATTTTAAATTTAATTAAAACACGCACGGAAATAAAACGCGCAAATAACATATACAAAAGACACAATTTTTCTTCACATTTAATTAATCTTTCGGATTGTGCACAATCGTGATTGCGCGCAAATTAGCTTTCGTCGTATGCTTTGCTCCTTTTAAGGAGCATAAGAGACGCGAGAGAGGGAAGCCCGGTCAGCGAACAAAGTATATATACGCACACATACACACGCACGCACGCACGCAAGCACACACGAGACACGAGTTATACATAATTTATACAAGAGAGGGTAGTCGCGTTTTCATCAAGAACGAATTGAAAAGGTGTCCCTGGATCAGCTCCGCCGATTAATTGTTGTCGTTGTATCCCGCCGCCGCGCCCACGGGTCTCACCAGGTCCCTCGCCTGAAACACACCGCGACGACACTAATTACTTAATTGCTCGTGAAAATCCAGTTAATTGTGCGCTGTCGCGATTCACTTGGTCCGAATTTAATGCCGGGCGAAGCCGAAGAGAATATTCAGGCTGTACGAAAGGTAGTCTTTATGCGTCTGTCATTTTTGTATGAAAAATCTGAGAAAGAGAGAGAGAGAGAGAGAGAGAAAAAGAGACAAAAGCGCTATAAAGTATAAAAATAAAATGCAAGGAATAAAACGCAAAATTACCGGTGCACCGATCAAGATATCGGTTTAATAATGTATATAAAACGAGAAAGAGAGAGCGAGAATTTCTATCGGTCAAATATATAATATATACACGTGCGGTTAATTAACAAAAGATTTACAATCGAGTGAATTTTCAAAAGACTTGATAAAGATGCTTGTGAAGAATATAGAAGAGCTCTCTCCCTAATGTAAATGACACTTAATACGATCTTATTAGAGGGAAGAAATTGTGCGGTGTGATTGAATAGGAAAATGGAATCTAATTTTCGTCTCAACGAAATATCTTCCCTTGTTATTATATAATTTACATAATATACATTTTCAATAATTTATCAAGATTATATCCCCTTAATATGAATAAGCTACTTAACTTTGCGTATGTCTACGAATGAGCATCTTTATGTCGCGCATATCATCATCAAAATATTATTATGAATCATGTTCTTTTAAATTGAATCAGTGAAAATGTCACTGATTAAAGCAGTAACAAGATTTCCCCAAAGATCACTGACATGAGTATTTCATTGAAAAATCAAGCCGCTATCACTAACTGATTCTCTTCTGATAAGATTTCTGTTTTTAGTGCTATAATTATAATTGAAATCATTTTTTTATATTTATAAAAAAGGAAAGAAACCCGTTCCTTGCGTGCCGAATTGCTGACAAATCGATATTACTGGCGGTTTGCTAATACAGATAAGAATTTTAGTAATGCGTTACGTCATTCTTGAAAATTTGTACTTGTCACGCCATCGTCGTCGTGATTACCGGCAATACTAAGTTCACGGTGTCGTTCCTATACTTCGGTAGGGGACTTTTTGCGAAACAGGAGATAATTGCCAAATTCACTGGAACGAGAGGAATTCTCCCCCTTGTAACACATCCAAACTGTGTTATCCCTGGAAGAGAATCCAGTCGCTCGTCTCTCTTTATTGGAAAATTTAAGCTCGTTTTTTTTTATATTATTACGATCGTTTGTAAGTAATTTCGAGATACTTGAACATCTCTCGTGATTCTTCAACGCTAGCCGTCATATTTTTTTACGCGAGTCACGAAAGCGAAATATCGTCTTATATAAGTACAGAATAAATAACGCGCCGAGAAAGAGAGAGAATTTTATAAAAAAGTAAAAGATCACTTTTATAACTTATTTTAAAATTAACTGAGAAGAGATGCACGCGGTCTTCTCTATAAATAAATATCCAAGATAAATAGAAGAATAATTTATAATATAATTAATAATATAATTGATATTAATAATATAATATTAATATAATTGAATATAATTGAATATAATATTAATATAATTGAAGAATTATAGAAATATTATAGAAGAATATAAATTTATTCTTTTGCGACGTAACTTTGAATATGAGAAGTTGATGTTAATATTTTTATATTATTTTTTTTTACGAAAAAGAGACATCGGTTCTTTCCCTGGCTTTTTCGCTGCGCGACCAAATCTAGTGCTTTATTTTTTTTGGCATGTATCTGTGTCGTACCGGTCGCAGGAAAAACTTTCTCTTCGACGTACAGACGTGACAATGTACCTTTGTTAGAAAAAAGGTCGCGCGCTTCGTCGAGCACAAGGCGATGTAATGTTATTTCGTAATGTTGGGCTTTTGAAGACGAAAATTCCGTATCTGCTCTTTGCCCGATATATCGCTGGCTTTTCAGCAACGACGTTTTACTACAAATTCTGAGGCGCACATACTTCCATAATATATATCACGCGTATAATGTTTCATAAACGTAACAAAATAAAATTCAAAATTGAAATAAAAAGGATGGGTAAAATTGGTTTATTAAAATGCATTCTCCCTCGAGTCGCGCGTGAGTAGATTCGAGATCAAATTGCATTCCTTTCAAATTGAACACGTATGCGTATGATAAAGATAAGCGAAACGCACCTATCTTTTTGCAAACGTATATATGCATCGTATATCGCATAAAATGGAATTTGCTCATTTTTTCTATATTAAAAGGCATGCATATTAAAAGGAAAGGAATTTTCTTCGTTGAATATTTATCTTGGCATTTTATTAAAAGAGAAACGTTAGATATATATGATTTAATATATGTATATATAAAAATTTTCTCAAAGCGAGAGAGCTTTTTCTGCACTTTTTTTCATGTATCATTTCTTTGAGATATAGATATATTTGATAAATCTAGAGCATCCTTACGTACATTACGCAAGTGATGAATATTAAAGAATGCTAAAAGGCAAATTATTTATTGACTGGTGTTGAGATATTTTAAGCAGAGAGCAGCCTTTTTCTATGCTTTCACGAATATAGAGCCAAGAGAATTTTACAAAATTTATAAAATGTAAAAAAATGTAGACGGTTTGTTCGTATTTTAACGGCCTCTTAAGATATCACACATGGTAAAATAATAAATGAAATCAAGATAATATATACATATAGAAATAGCATTATTAAAAAGATAATAGCAAATGAAATTTTTACCGATAGATAATCGACTTTAAATTAATTTTTAGACAGAGAAAAATGCGAAAAAGGCCAACTACTATTTTCCATCCGAATAAAGTATAATAAGATTGTGATTCTCGTTTTGAAACACCGAAATAATCATCCCAAGAAGGATGGGTTTCAATTTCCTTATTTTTTCTAATTACCGTGTTATAATCTCCGTCGTGGTGTCCTGCGAGACAACCTGCATGCACATCGCTACGGTTCGCAAGAGTTACTTCACTCTCGCTAATTATGAGAAAATTAATCTCCCAGGGAATACGGGCTACATTAAGATTAGTATGCAAAGATATTCGCGAGAAGCATTACGAATTAAACTGCGCGTACTCTGGAGAGAGAAGTAATCCCGTAATTCAGGGGCAAAATAAGCGTATCTATCTCGAAGAAAATACTTCTTGTTGTTAACGCGTATCATTAAATTACGAAAGAGCTTGTCCAATTTTCTTTTATATTAGCCTCTCTTTGCACTCGATCGTATTATATTTTGTATCATTGTTAAATTTTGTTTTATTTTATTTATTTTATTTATTTATTTATTTATTTTATTTTAATTGTCCGAATAAGATTATAATTTCAAAATGTGCGCGCGCATAAAGTAAAAATTTATATTTTTTAAAGTAACGAGAATATAAGATTTAATAAATAATATTTCGCTTGTATATACGTCATAGCATGCAAAATATTTTTGGCTGCGAATTATCAATAACATGATATTTGGCTTCGGCGCGGCGGCGTAAACATTAGCGCGCTATTGTTATTGTATTATGACTTACGGCCTTATTCGCACGGCGATACTCGAACAGTAATGTAATAGTGCGAGACGCTCCGTCAAATTCTTTTCTAAACGCGATCGCGACAAGTATTGAAAAAAATTTGATGTAATTAATAATTAATTTTCTCTTTCTTTCACTCTCTAGGCGACAATTATTTTAAAATACTTAAAATTAAATATATTTCATCCAACGCTTTATCGTTTGACTTTTCGACGATCTAAATATAATTCGGATTAAGAACGCTCAATAAAATAGTCGAATCGCAGGTCCTTGTAATTAACATAACAATAAATTCTGTAATATATTAGCCGTTTATTATATAATTGATTTATAATTTAAAATATTGGTATATTTTAATATTCCGCTTATATACAGGGTGGCCCCGAACGTTCCAGCCAGACTTTGAGATCTTATAGGAAATTTAATTCTGAACAAAAAATTTCCTATAAACATGAGTCGAAAAATGCTTCCTTAAGAAGTTATCGCTCAAAAACCTCTGAAATCGTGATTATTTTACACATTTTTCCAAATATCATGGAAAATGTGCGTCTTTTAACAAAAAGTACCGAAACAAAAGTTGTAGAAAATTAAATTATCTTTCAAATGAGATCAAAATGATTGTTGTACGTTCCATAGATTTTGATATAACCAGTTTCAAACGTACATAAAGTGCTTTTGTTACTTATTGTTAGATGCGCTATTACGTGCTATTTTAGTTTAAAAAAATTTATTTTATTCTCATAAAAGAAAAAGATTTTTATTTTTTATTTTTATCGTTTTTTCAAGAAATTTATTAAGTTTCATTTTCTTTTTATTTCATTTTCTTTTCACCTTTTGCTCTTCCTTTGCATCAGAGGTTTTTGAGCGATAACTTCTTAAGGAAGCATTTTTCGACCCATGTTTATAGGAAATTTTTTGTTCAGAATTAAATTTCCTATAAGATCTCAAAGTCTGGCTGGAACGTTCGAGGCCACCCTGTATATGAGGAATAATTCTTTAATTTATTATTATTTTTTGCATTACATCCCCTTTATATATATCATTTTACTATATTTTATTATTGTATTTATTAATTTATTGTTAATGATATAAAAATTACAAATGTTAATTATAATAGAAAAAAAATTGCTCATAAAATGTTCAATCTTGCACATTTTCTCGGTTTCTAGCATCATATGTGATATGAAAGATAGCCACTAGGAATGCGGACAATTCGTACATGGATGTATGTATATCAGTGAAAGGTATGCAAACAGCTCAAAGGATTTCACGCTTTAGTGACTACCGGAAAATTGAGAGTATAATAGGTAACAGGCAGGAACGCACTAGTAGATGATTCAAAGGGTCGATTAAATAGCACGTAATAGTAGAAAATGAATAAAGACGTGAAAAAACTAACTGTTCTCAAAATGTCCCTCCCCCCTAGCTCCAATACACTTTCGGCATCGAGTAATGACTGATCTGATCGCTTTACGGATTTCCGTATGCACATCTAACAATAAGTAACAAAAGCATTTTTTGTACGTTTGAAATTGCTTATCAAAATCTATGGAACATACAACAATCATTTTGATCTCATTTGAAAGATAATTTAATTTTCTACAATTTTTGTTTCGGTACTTTTTGTTAAAAGACGCATATTTTCCATGATATTTGGAAAAATGTGTAAAATAATCACAGGTTCAGATTTCAGAGGTTTTTGAACGATAACTTCTTAAGAAAGCATTTTTCGACCCATGTTTATCGGAAATGTTTTGTTCAGAATTAAATTTCCTATAAGATCTTAAAGTCTGGCTGGAACGTTCGGGGCCACCCTGTATACGTCATAGTACACAAAATATTTTCGGCTGCGAAATTATATTATAAATTATTTTATTTTGTTTATTTTATTTATTTATTTTATTTATTTTAATTGTCCGAATAAGATCATAATTTCAAAATATGCGCGCGCATAAAGTAAAAATTTATATTTTTTAAAGTAGCGAGAGTATAAGATTTAATAAATAATATTCCGCTTGTATATATGTCATAGTACGCGAAATATTTTCGGCTGCGAATTATCAATAACATGGTATGTGGCCTTTGCGGCGTAAACAATAGCGCGCTATTGTTCACGTCTTACGGTCTTGTTATCATTCTCACGGCAACACTTGAATAATATTGTAGTAATGGGGAAGACGCTCCGTTGAATTCCTTTCCTAAACGCGACCGCGACAAGTATTAAAATATAATTCGCTACAATTGTACTTCTCGTGTGTTGCTCTGTGTTACGGTATAATAAACTGAGTATCTCGTATGATTGTTCCACGATCGGGAGTGCCGTGCAAAGTGTCTCGCACATATATATAATCATTAAATTGATTAAATATGCATTTCGATTAAGATTAACTATAACTATTATATATATATATATATATATATAATAGTTATAGTTAATCTTAATCGAAATGTATATTTAATCAATTTAATGATTTAAACGGTGTAAATATTTTTATATAAATTCAGACAAGTTATATATATACTAAAACACAATGAGCTCACGAAAGTTAATATTCTCCATGAATCTATAATTGTTATATTTAATATTTAATTCTGTTATATAAAACTGACGCAAATGTAATGTATACAAATTTGAAAGATTTAATTATAATCTAATTATAATTTGATTTTAATTTAATTATAGTTTAATTATAAATGAAAAATTATAAAATCAGTTAATAAAGTGGAAGAGTATCTTCTAGAACATATAATAGTCCAAAGTTACCAAGTTTAGTTTAGTTGAGGATCAAAATCTGTAATATAGCCTTTCTCGTTTGTACAATACAAATATTATAAAACATATACCAGAGATAGAAACGAACTCACAGAAATTACACAATTGAGATTTCGAGACATATTTATTTATTTTCACTGCATCAATTTAAAAACTAAGCTCGAATAATTTTGAAAATAAAAAAAAGAATAATTAAAATATTCTTTTAAAAATGAGAAAGCTTCACAGTATTTTTTTTTTTTTTT